AGATTCTTCCTCCAGCTCTGTACAGGACAGGCAAGCTGTCTATTTCTTTCTTTTTGTTATTGTTGTCTTTTGGTCACACCCAGCGATGCTCAGGGGCTACTCCTGGCTCTGCACTCAAGGATCACTTCTGGCAGTGATCCGGGACCATACAGGGTGCTGGGGATCAAACCCAGGCTGGCCACATGCAAGGCAGATGCCCTGCCCGCTATACTCTGTTCCTAGGCACAGTTTGTTTCGTTTATTGGATGCAGCAGGCTGGACTTCAGTATCTCTCAGAATCCTTTGGGATCCTGTTTTTGTTTCACTGTGGGTGACGGGGTGAGGGAGGGGGGTGCCCTGGGGCCTCACACTTGCCATGCTGTGCTGCTGAGCTCTGACTCTTGCTGTTCCCCTCTTCTTTTAGTACCCTCAGTGTAACTCTTTACTTGATCAGGTTGATCATGGCCGTCTGATGCCATGGAGTGCCGGGATAGTTACTAGCTGTCCCTGCAGTGGGTTTCTCTGACCTTGGTAATTTCCTCTGCCCCTTGCTTCCCTTTTGTTTAGTGCTGTTGTTGCAATGAGCAGGGGTCATCCACATTAGTTGGGATGCCTGCACCCGTACACCCCTGGGAGTTGCAGTCTGGGTTGCACACCCATTCTACTTGCCCTGCTGCTGGAGGTTGTTGTGCTACTCACATGTGCCTTGGTCTTTGGAGTCGTCCTCCTGGCCACGGTGTTCACGTCTGTCATTAGTAGTGGCATTTGCACACACCTGACGGGGCAGTGGAATCACACCTTGTAATTTCAGAATTGCTGGACTACCTTAGCGCACATAGGCTAAGCACACGTGGGAGAGCTCAGAGATGAGACTCTTGCAAGGCAATCACTTTTATTCACTGGGACACCCTGGGGGCTCTCGTGTGTAATTTCCCCCGCCTTAATTTTGGGGGCCACACTCAGTGGTATCAGGGCTCATTCCTGGTTCTGAGCGCAGGAATCACTCCTGGCAATGCGCAGTGGACCGTGTCTGGTGCCAAGGATAGAACCAGGGTCGAAGCTGAAGTGGCCCTTTGCCTTACCTCCTTCTCTTCTCTCCCCAGCCCTGTGGTGGCTCATTTTATTTATTTATTTTTGTTTGTTTGTTTGTTTTCTTGTCCACTCACACAGGGCAGCATTTGCTGGCTTCCGCCCTATGTGGTGCTGGCAAATGACTCGTAGCCTGAAAGCCAGCTGATGGTCTCTTGACTGTGCTTATTCTGAACACGTGAAGATTCCTCATGCTCGTGGCGAGCATGAGGAGCAACTGAGTGATCGCCGGCGGCAGGCGGAGCTGGACTCCACTGCCAGCCGCGACCAGGCTGCCTAGGGCTCTTCAGGATTCTGGTTTTGTAGGCTGGAGAGAGAGCTCAGGTGGGAGAGCACAGCTCTGGAATGTACAAAGCCCCAAGTTCCTTCCTTGCTGCACATGGCAGCCCCCCACTACTGCTGGGTGTGGTCTCCCTACTTTAAAAAAAAATAGCAGACTATAGCAGACTCCTTGCGTTGTATTTGTGTATGTGTCTTTGGAATACATTTGTGTTTGCTGCAACGTTGATCCTGAAAGGTGGCAGGAAGTGGTGCTCCCCTCCCCACAACCTTGGTCCCCTGCAATAGGACCCCATCGTTCATTTGGCCAGAGGATGTTATGAGACTCCTGTTCCCAGTGTCCGAATCTCTGTACCGGTCCTGGCTGCACAGGTTGGCCTCTTAGTCTCTGTTGAGGCACCTCTAGGACCCCGGGCAGAGCAAGGCCAGTCAGCTCCGACCTGGCAGTGGAGAACCAGCTGTCTGGTGTAATGAGCTCACAGGCTGTCCAGGCAGGTGATGTGCAGAGAGAAGGCATTTCCGGTCTGGATGAACATCGTTCAGCTGGTCCCTGCTTCTTCAGTTATCTCTTCTGTATTTTTCCTCCAGATAGCTGTTTGGAGTGTCTAATGAAGCAACCGTCTGGAGACCAATGTTTATTTCAACGGTGATTGGAGTTGTTTTTGCTTCAGCTTTCAGAGCCAATAAAGCTGGTTATTAGATCCTGTAATTGCTGCTGTAATTACTCTCTTGGAACCGGCAAAGGCATAATTAAATATGGAGATTTCCAAGGACTATTTTTTTTCCATCTAAAAGCAGACTTTTAAATATCTATTTGCCTGGGTTGGATTTTAGTTGTTAAAGTCTGGAAGCCTCTTCTTTGAATATTTGTTTTAGGTGAAATCCTTGTTAGCCCATAATTTTTTCCCTCCCATTCCCCTAGCCCTGTTTTACTGAAGCACAATTGACATAGAGCATTGCACTTGCTTACATATACAGCATTTGATATTTAATATATATGGTAAAATAATCACAGTAGTAAGTTTTGTTATCCAACTCTCTGCAGGTTATTGCCCCTTATGACAAAATCCTTGTTTGTTTGTTTTGTTTTGTTTTTGGGACACGCATGACAGTGCTTAGGGATCACTCCTGTCTCTGTGTTCAGGGAACCATATGTGGTGCTGGGGATTGAACCCAGATCAGCTGCATGCAAGGCACATGCCCTACCTGCTGTACTATTGCTCTGGCCCCAGTATTGTTTTTTAAAATCAGAAATCTGGAAAAATAGAAAGCAGGACACTAGGAGCCAGCATGTGTCTATGTAAAACATTGAGCCTGGCCTTGAGACTATGTAGATAGAAGCGGGTTTTTTTGTGGTCAGAAATAAGGTCTGGTGCAGAATGTTCTACTGGAAGTATAGCAGAATGTGGAAAGAGTGGAGTTTTTTTCATTCTAAGTACTCAGAGTCCTCAAAGCCTTGAGTTTCCCCGAAGGCCTCGCTTCTTAGTCTGTGGGTCCTGACTCTATGGGGTTATGTGACTGAATGTGGGGTCAGGCAAGTCCGGCATTAGTGAAAGGTTTCTAATTGCACCACAACCAGAAATTATTTTAACTCAGATTAAAACAATTACTGTTATCAGCCTTTATGCTGATGCTGATCTTTTTTTTTTCTTTTTGGGTCATACCCGGTGATGCACAGGGGTTACTCCTGGCTCTGCGCTTGGGAATTACCCCTGGCGGTGCTCAGGGGACCATATGGGATGCTGGGAATCGAACTTGGGTCGGCCACATGCAAGGCAAACACCCTACCTGTTGTGCTATTGCTCCAGCCCCTGATGCTGATCTTTAAAGACAAAAAGTAGAAACATTATTTTGTTCTTGGGGAAGCTCTGACTACTTTCCTGATATATTGGTAGGTGGTATTTGCTTCCAGATCAGTTTCTTGCTTGGGAATTTTAGAAGTAGGGTATAAGTCGGAGAAATACAGGATGAACATGCAAGGAGTCATTGCCAATTGAAATTGTATTAAATCAAAAAAGTAGTTCTAGGGGCTGTAGTGATAGTACAGCGGGGAGGGCATTTGCCTTGCACGCGACCAACCTGGGGTCAATCCCCAGCATCCCATATGGTCCCCCAAGCACCGCCAGGAGTAATTCCTGAGCGCAGGGCCAGGAGTAGCTCCTGAGCATCACCAGGTCTGACTCAAAAAGCTTAAAAAAAAAGTTTTAAATACATTTAAAAGTTTTAAATGCATTAGGACAGGACAAATTTACACTTTTTTTTTTTGACAAAAATTTAGTTTTAAAAATCAGAATGTAGCTGGCTGACTATGACCAGGTTTCTTGCTCCACTCCAGATGCTGAAAGAGTGAGACAGCTGTGCCATGTCAGTGTGCTGGGGGCTGTCCCCCGTCACTTGGTGTCATTCTGACCCTGTGGAGGTGGGCAGCAGCCTAGGCCTTACAGAGCCTGGTGGCTGCATCCACTCTTCCTGTAGAACTTGAACTTGGTGAGCCTCTTCTCCTTTCCTCTGCCGCCCTTTTAGTGTGGAGCTGGGATCTCTGCCCCGATATGGGCCTGGGAGGGTGAAACAAGGAAGTGGCAAGAGCTGCCTAGGTGCCCCACCTGCTTGCTGTGCCCCAGGCTCTCGAACACCTCATCCCATCAAGTTGTTCTACGCTGGGTTATGCCATGGGTGGTGGAGGTGGCTAAGGACCAGAGCAAAGGCACCCTGGGACATGGGTCCTGAGAAGGCTTGAGAATCACTGTTTTGGGTTTTTGGGGTTTTTTTTGGAGAGGCTGTCACACCCAGAGGTGTTCAGGCCTTATTCCTGGCTCTGTGCTCAGGGATCGCTCCTGATGTGGTACTAGGGGTCAAACCTGGGTTGACCGTGTGCAAGGCAAGCTTCCTCTTCAACACTCTGTACTGGCGCTCCAGCCCCATCAGCCCCCTGGGAATCGGGTTTTGAGTTTGGGCCCCTTCTCTGCCACAGACTCACCCTGGTCTTATTGCTTGACTGCACTTGAGAACAAAACGACATCTAGAGTTTTGCCATGCCAGAATGCTGAGTTGGATGGTAACAGTGAGGAGACTAAGGGCCAGGCTCCAGATTTGTCCTTGGTAGGAAATGCTCTCGTTTAATTGTGTGTCCTCCAGTAAAGGATGCTAGAGTAACCATCGTCAGCATGGCGTTCTTTGCTTTTGTTGAATACTTTTCTAGAAAGAATTACTGGGTCAGAGGACAGGAATATCATTAGCACTGTTGCAATGTGACTTTTCAGAAGCATGACAAATAATAGTTGTTGCCTAAAAGTAAGTAGCCAGCTGATCAGATGATCAGTACGGTTACTATTATTTTTATAATCTAATGGGCAGAAAAGTACATCTGTTAGGCTGCTGCTTGTGGAGGAGGAAGGGTGTCCAGCATGTTGTGTGTGATTTCCAGAGATCATGAACTTTTGCTCCTGTGCTTGGCTCTATTTCCAACTATATGAATTTGGCATCGTGCTCTTTAAAAATGATTGTGTTCTCTGCATAGAAGAGATGATTAACCCTGTCACCGTGGCGGCAGCAGAAGCTGTGGGGCATTCATTGCAATCAGAGAAGACTCAGGTGGATCCAGGGGTGTCCCCTTATTTCTGGGCCCTCTGAAACCTTGTTTCTCCTCCTTGCAGCGGCCCTCCAGGCTCTGAAGCGCAAGAAGCGGTACGAGAAACAGCTGGCCCAGATTGACGGCACGCTGTCAACCATCGAGTTCCAGCGGGAGGCCCTCGAGAATGCCAACACCAACACGGAGGTGCTGAAGAACATGGGCTATGCCGCCAAGGCCATGAAGGCTGCTCATGACAACATGTGAGTGGCCCCGTGCTGGGGGAGGGCGAGTGTGGGGTGGGAATGGGCCAAGCCCCTGGAGTTTGTTTTCACTGGCTTCTTGCTAAGTCCTGTGCTCAGCTGTCTTCAGGAGCAGCCTGAGGCATGTCCTCAGAGTAACTCAGGACTGCGCCTGAGAAGGTGCTCTCACCCAGATTATCAGAGTGGGTTATATCAGAGCTTGGACAGAACACGGTTAGATTTCACGTCCCTGACTATTTTCTGAATGTTGTCAGGTTCCCTGAAAAGTAGCAGCTTTGGATCATGCTGATCTCAATATGCTATTGCTGGCTCTCAGAGGTTGGCTGTCCTAGAGACAGTGTTCTTGGCCCCAGTAGTCCTTTCATCCATGTGGTAGCCTAAGGTGCCGATAGCCCTGCTTGCTAATGAGAATGGAAGACCAGAGTGGCTCTGAGGCTCTCCATTGAACATCATCTGCACTTGTTTAGTGTTTTGACTCAGCAGCATCAGTTTGGAAGTCTTGGAGGCGATTTTTGCTTCGTTTGGGGTATTCTCAGCTGTGCTCAAGCAGGGTTGGCAAAATGTAGCCCGTGAACTTGACTAATTTTATAAACAAAGTTTTATTAAAATCTAGTTGTGGTAACTTTCATACTGTCTATGACAGAGTTGAGTTTTTGCAACAAAGATTGTACGATCCCAAATTCTAAAGTATCTGTTATTTGACTCTTTATAGAAAAAGCTTGGTGATTGGACCAGAGCAATACTATAGCAGATAGAGGGTGCCTGTGTCTACACAGCAGACCTGAGATTGATCCCTGGCACCACATATGTTCCCTTGAGCCCTGCCCGGAGTGATCCCTGAGCACAGAGCCTTAGAGTAAGCCCTGAGAACTGCTGACTGTGGCCAGGGGGAAAATAAAAGGAGAAGATGATGCAGGGTTATAGGAAAAGGACTCTTCCAATAGTGAGGCGCTGGTCCAGGGAGATCGCTCAAGTGGTAGAACATGAATGTCATGCAGGAGGCCCTGATTTTGATGCCCAGCACTGCACAAAGAATTGTAAACAAATAATGAGGTGTTAGCCAAGGGTGGATTTCACTGGATTTCCTGAGCGAGGTCTGTGTCTACTTTATCCTTCATACTTCAGATGAACAAGGTAGCCTCAAAGTTTGTGTGTATATATGAGTTGATGGTATTGTTACATGGTTGACAGTGTAAAGAAGTCATTCTCCATGTTACCTGTCCACTGGGCCTACAGGAGGAGCCATGGTTGGATTTGAAGATGGGCAGGTCTCTTGAGTGGCACAGCTGTGTTTTATGATTTGTGATAAATACAGGGATGATTGATGACTCTCTGTGTGTAGCTGCCTTCAGCTTAAAGAACTGTGGACTCGGGAGTTAAGAGTCCTCAGTCGCTGATGGATTTTGTAGCCATGTCAGTCCATTGCTGAGCCTTATTTCTTTAGAGTGATGCTAAAGAAATAGGTGATGCCTAAAGATGCTTCCACCCTCTTGATTCACTTCTCCTAGGGAGTCAGTGTATGTGGCGGGGCTTCTGCACCCGTCCTCTTTATACAGACCACTTGTCTGATAGGATATGTTAATTTCATTACAGGGACATCGATAAAGTTGATGAGTTAATGCAGGACATTGCTGACCAGCAAGAACTCGCAGAAGAGATTTCAACAGCTATTTCAAAACCCGTAGGCTTTGGAGAAGAGTTCGATGAGGTAAGTGGTTTTTGAAAATCACCGGTTTTGGGGGCTGAAGCGATAGCTGGGTAGGACGTTTACCTTGCATGCGGCCAACCCCGGTTCAATTCCCAGCATCCCATATGGTCCCCCGAGCACAGCCAGGAGTAATTCCTGAGTGCAGAGCCAAGAGTAACCCCTGTGCATCTCCGGCTGTGACCCCCCCAGGAAGGAAGGAAGGAAGGAAGGAAGGAAGGAAGGAGGGAGGGAGGGAGGGAGGGAGGGAGGGAGGAAGGAAGGAAGGAAGGAAGATAGATCACCGATTCTTATCCCTTCGGAGTCTTGAACATAAATAGGAATGGTATTAACCCGCTGGATTCCTGGGTTTTGAATCATGCGCGTAGACCTGAAATTCTTCTCTTCTGTAAGCTCAGGAGTGGCACACCCCCTGAGTTATTGTGTAAAAGATATTGCTGTGTATGCTGAGACTCCCAGGAACCCTTCTTACTTTTCTTTTTTTGGAGAGGAGGGGGGCTGTGGGGACCTATGGGGTGCTGGGGGTTGAACCTGGGTCATGCGTATGTAAGATAAGTGCCTTACTCGTTGTACTCTCCACAAGTATCCTGCTTCTCTTGCTGCGCTTCCCTCCCCTCTCCCCAACACACACACACACACACACACACACACACACACACACCTTTTACTCTTGTTCTCTTACCAGGATGAACTCATGGCTGAACTAGAAGAATTGGAACAGGAAGAGCTAGACAAGAATTTGCTGGAAATCAGCGGACCCGAAACAGTCCCTCTACCAAATGTCCCTTCCGTAACACTACCGTCCAAACCCGGTGAGTACTGGCACTCGAGTCAGGACCCCCGGGCTTGGTTGGCTTCCCTTTTGAGTCTGGTATTGAGAACCAGATTCACATCCCATCCTCCCCCCACATCGGACAGACAAAACGGGCCCTTCCCGGAGAGACCACCACGACTGCAGAGGGCTCTGGCCTGCCGCATCCACGGTGTGGGAGAACCCAAAGATCCCCACTGTTTCCCTGCGCCCCTTAGTGGCCGAGTCTCTGGAGCGGGGCTGGATGGCTCGGGGAGGCCCTGGTACCAGCTGTCCTAATAACTAGCCTTCCTCCTGTCACAGCCAAGAAGAAGGAAGAGGAAGACGACGACATGAAGGAATTGGAGTCCTGGGCCGGAAGCATTTAGCCGGTCCCCTGCAGGCTGGGCCCAGACGGACTGTGGCGCGTGCAGGGCAGGCAGGCCGTGGTGCGGGCAGGTTCCATCGCTCAGTCTCCCTCCGAAGCAAGGGCCACATCACTGCTCCCTCTCTGCATAGCATGGTCTGCACCCAGCGGGGCGGGGGGCGGGGGGTGGGCGGGGGGGAGGTGCCTGCTGTTTATAATGTTGAATTTCTGTAAAATAAACTGTATTTGCAAATCCAACATTGAGCTTCCGGACTACGCTAACTCCACTGCTGAGCCTCAATGGAAAGGGTCGACCGTCTGCAGTTTAAATGACCTGAAAATGTAGCCTCTGTCCTTTTAAATCAGTTGACTTGTCGCACATCTCCTTGTAAGACTGTACGGTACTGGCAGAAAAGTCATTTTTTTAAAAGCCATAGGCTTTTCCTTGTCTTTAGCTGTAATAATGCATCGGATTTGGGTTTCTCTGAGCGCTGTATCTCTGTCTCTCACCTGTGTACTGGCCCCCACGTTGCCCACTCTGGCCCACTCCTCACTCCTGTCCCCCCACCCACCCACCCCACCCTGGTCTTTTGGAGTTTGTGACTGATTTGAAATGGATGATGTTCTCTTGAGAGCAAGTGAGATTGTTAGAATTAAATTCCAACGATCCATTTTTCTAACATAGCTCTAAGGTCCTTGTTGCTGTTTGTGATAACTGATAGATAACTCATTGAAAACATGTGCATACATTTATATTCAGATGAAATGATGGTTTGCACTGTCTATTAAATATCTCGATTAATTTTCATACTTTGCTGTTGTGTTCCATCTGTCACGTGCTTGGGAGGGGACCTTTGTTTCGCGGCGAGACCTGGAGGACCGATGATGGCCGCTCGCCCATGGTGTGAACCTGAGCACAGCGCAAGCCTGGCCAGCGGGGTCTGGGTACTCCAGAGACTGGGGGCCTGCGGCTGTCAGCTCACGTGGGGACCTCCAGGATGGCTGCAGGAGCCAATTCCCTCCCTCTGGTCTGTCAGTGTCTGGGGCAGTGCAGCGGGCACACAGGGGTCACCGGCCAACAAGGCCCAGTCCGTGCCTGGAGCCCATCTACAGCACTGCAGAGAGTGGCCTTCCCTCATGGGTGGCAGTGACAGGATTCAGGCCACAAGTGGTCATCTCAAGTCTTCACACTTGCCTGGTGGCTCTGGGTCAGGCTCTTTTGTTTATTCCCTTTCTGTTATGGGGTTTTGTTGGGGTTTTCTTTTTTTTTTTCCCCTTCTGTTTTTGGGCCACACCCAGTGATGCTTCGGGCTTAGGCAGTGCTCAGGGAACCAAACAGGCTGGGGATTGAACCTGGGTTAGCCAGTGCAGGGCAAGTGCCTTACCCAATGTACTATCACTCCGGCCCTCCTGTTATGTGTTTTTGGGGAGGGATCACACCCGCCATGTGCAAGGCAAGCACCCTACTTGTTGTTCTGTCTCCCAGTACCCACCCTTGAAGCCTGCATGGGTGCGATCCCTGAGCACGCTCTGCTGGGGAGATGCAGAGGTGAGCATTAATTCTTCTCAGCTGCCTAGGGCTTCTCATCCCAGGTTTGGGAACTCAGATACCCACCTGGCTCTTCACAGGCCATAAAAACATGACCATGGCAGCCTTTGGGACGCTTTGAAAAATAGAGATTTCTTCTTAGTGATGTGGCCTTATGCCAGGCCTGTGGAATGGACAAGGAGGTAATGCCCAGTTCCTCCCTATTCTCAGGAAAGGCTCCCCTGAGCTGGAGAGAGAAGTTACTGTGTCTGGATTCCTTGATTCCCAAGCAATAGAGGTCTCAACCAATTAGAATAAGCAATAAAGGTCACTGATCACTGTCCTCCCGTTGTTCATCGATTTTGCTCGAGCGGGCCCAGTAACATTGTGAGATTTGTTACTGTGTCTGGTATATCCAATACACCATGGGTAGCTTGCCACGCTTTGCCGTGCGGGCGAGATACTCTCGGTAGCTTGCCAGGCTCTCCGAGAGGGGTGGAGGAATCAAACTCGGGTCGGCCATGTTGGCTGCGTGCAAGGCAAATGCCCTACCCTCTGTGCTATCACTCCAGCCCAAAAAAGGTATTTACTTAATTATTCAAAACTTACTAAACAGGTGTTTATGGTGTCTCAGACATTGATCAAGGGACTGTGTGTGCATGCGACCAAGTTCCCCTGTGTCTCATGGGCTGAATGTGGGGACCAAAGGAGTGCAGTCAGGATGCTCTTAAAACTGGGTCAGAGAGGACCAGAGCAATTGTACAGCAGGGTAGGGCACTTGCCTCATATGTGGCCAGCTTGGGTTCGATCCCCAGCATTCCGTATGGTCCCCCTGGAGTGATCCCTGAGCACAGGGCCAGGAGTAAGCCTGGAGCACTGCCAGGTGACCTCTGAAAAAAATAAAAGTTGGGAGGAAGCTTCCTTGCCTGAGCCTGTTCTCATCACACCTGGATAGAGTCGGGTTTCTAGTAAGAAAAAGGGCTTGAACCAGGGCCCTCTGCCTATTCTCAGCCTCATAGTTAGTCGCCAGCCCTTCGACAGCATTTTCCAAAGCTGTGATATGTGGGGTAGGTTTCTGCTGCTTCAAGTTGAGACTGGACACGGCAGGTGCGTGGGCAGGCACCAAAGAGCAGGGCAAGGGGTAGATGCCAGGAGCATGGAGCTCTTGAGTCTGACACACAAGGCACCAGGTCTGTTCTGCAATAGCCAGACACCTAGTGAGCTCATGCCTCAGCCTCAATTTTCTCATCTGTAAAATACAGGTAACAAAACACTTGCCTAAGTTAGGTCCTCCAGGGCTGATTATAGCAAAAAATCATAACTAAGTGCCTTAAAATAACAGGCATTTCAGGGCCAGAGAGATAATATAGTGCATAGGTTCTTGCCTTGCTTGTGGTTGACCTGGATTTGATCCCCTGCACCCCATCTGATCCCCTGAGCCACGCCAGGAATGATCCCTGTGTCAGGAGTAAACCCTGAGCACTGCTGGGTGTGGCCCCAAAACAAAAGGGCATTTAGCACCAGGGAGATACAGCTGCAGGGCTGAGCACATGCTTTGCATGTAGGAACCCTGGGCTCTATCCCTGGGCTATGTGGATTGTTGAGCCACAGTTAGAAGCAACCCCCAAGCTACTGGGAGTAGCCCTCCAGCACCACTGGGTGTGACTCCAATACAAATAAGGTGCTTGTTCTCAACAGTTTAAAGGTCTCAAGTCCACAGTCAGATATTATCAGGTTAGCAGCTAGGAAAGCCCTCTGGGCATTCTGGCCTTGCAGGGGACATCACTCTGGGCTCTGCCTCTCTGCAGTGACACCTCCCGGTGTTACTGAGGGCACCTGTCATTGTTAGGGCCCACCCTGATGCCATGTGATCTCGCTCACCTTAATTGTATCTCCAGAGACCCTATTTCCAGCAAGGTAACAGAGGTTCCCGGTGGATAAGAATATTGCGGGGCACTGTGGAACCCACCACTCTGGGGCTGTGAGCCATGTCTGTAAGCTCCCCCCGCAGGCTTTAGGGCACCCTGAGAGGTGCAGGTGGGAAGCTCAGGTATACCGTGCCCCATTTGCTGCTTGTAAAAACCAGTGGTTCAAGAAACATTAGGTCTCACTGCCAATGAGAGACAGACAAGCTTGTGAACTCTTCTGCTATAGAAGCCATCGGTTCTACAAGTCTGTGCTGAGCACCTCCGCCAACTCTTACTGAGCTCATGGATTCATGGGGAAATTAGCCATCATTGCTCACAGGCTGGGTCATCAGTGGGGTTCAACTCATGGGGAAGAGGATGCCTGACCCAGGAGGACTTGTGAGAGGATGCTCTGCCAAAGCCAGGATGGGGATATTACGGACTCAGCCAAGGGGGAGATGGGGAAGGGATTTCAACAGCCGGGTGAAGGCTGGGGGCTGCCAGGCTGCCTCAGGAGCCTGAGCCAGACCATGCTGGAGTCGCCAGGTCTGCAGTATTTACAGGACAAATGACAGATGGGGAGACCAGGGTGCCAAGGTTCTAGCTGAGACTCAGTTCCCCAGTGCACACCCACGCAGGCCTCTTTCTAGACACTGGCCCTGCCTACCCTTCCTCATGGCATTCTGGCTCAGCCATGGGCCGACAAGGCAGTGGAGATGGGGTAGAGGCACAGACATGTGGGTCCTGCAGCCTGGACTGTGCCCCCAGCCCTAACTAAATTTCCCCGAAGCTCCAGCTGATGGGGGGGGGGAAATTTCCACAATTTGGGAATTCAGTGGGAAATGAGCAATTCCCAGTGAAATCAGAAGCAGAGTGGAAAGGGCCCCTTTGGCGCAAAGCAATGGTCTGTGCACAGTGACTCCTGGATGCTGGTGTTTAAGGAAGAGCAGACACTGGGGGTGTTTACTCAGACCATCCACGGATCTGCATCACTTCACTGAGGCCACACAAGAACAACTCAGGCCAGACCACCTGTTGCCCTGTTCCATGATTTGGTGAGAAAACCCAGGCTCAGGGGGACAGTGACTTGCCTGCTCATGAGTAGCATTGACGCAAGAATCCAGCCACCCATCCTCACCCATCCTCAGCCACCCATCCTCACCCTTCCTGCAGTGCGGACAGAATCTTTGACTTTTTTTAGAGGAGTCGACTGTGAATGGGACCAGCTGCAGGGGCCAGAGAGGGAGCCAACTCCTAGACATCTCCCTGTAGGAAGCAAAAAGGCAACAGGATCTAGAAACACCCAGGGAAATCCAGAGTCCAGAACCACCCAGAGAAACCAATATCCAGAGACACCAAGGGAGGAAATGCAGGACCTAGAACCAGCCAAAGAAGCTCCAGATCTAGAAGCACCCAAGGGAGCCCCAGATATAGAAAGCGTCCAAAGGAGTCCCGGGTCTAGAACCATCCAGGGAGGGCAGATCTAGAACCACCTAGGGAAGTCCCGGGTCTAGAACCATCCAGGCGAACCCCAAGTCTAGAACTACCCCTGAACTCATCGGAGTGGCAGGGTCAGATTATGCTGCAGAGTGGGGTTCTGACTCTTCCACGAGGAACTTGGAAGGTGGGACCCCCCTGGGCTGGTGGACTTCCCCATCAGAAGGTGCAGATTTACCCCAAGACCATCTCTCTGGGGAAACTTTATTTTTTTTTCTCTCACCTTGAGGACTGAATGACTGCAGATCCTTAGTTCCCTCCCAGGAAGCACGGCTGAGGCACGAGGCCAGGAGGGCAAGTTCTACTTTAGTATCATGGGAGAACAACCCCCTGAAACAACAGCCCCTGGGGCCAGAACAATAGTGGGGGGAGGGCCCTGCTTGCCTTGTACAAGGCCATCCCGGATTTGATCCCCGCATCCCATATGGTCCCCTAGCACCTCCAGGAGTAATGGAGTAATTCTTGATTGCAGAGCCAGGAATAACTTCTGAGCATCCCCAGGTGTGACCCAAAACGCGAAAGAAAGAAAGAAAGAAAGAAAGAAAGAAAGAAAGAAAGAAAGAAAGAAAGAAAGAAAGAAAGACAGAAAGAAAGAAAGAAAGACCCCCCTCTGCTGTGCAATGTGATGATTTCATTTTGCACCTGGCGTCAGTAGGGGAGACTTCTGCACAGGACAGGACCCAGTGGGGACCACTCGTTTTCTCCCCATGATAACGGGGCCTTACCTGCCCCCACACCGGGGTTGCATCTGAACATCTGAACAGCTGGAATCATGTGTGTGTGTGTCAGTGTGTGCTGTGATTTGGGCTCCCCTGAGTTGCATCTCAACAGCTGGAATCATCTGGTGTGTGGGGAGGGGGGAAGGGGGGGCAGTGT